TCTGGCTGGGGTGTAGCGCTGGAGGAGTTCGGCTATATAGGCCGGAGCCAGCCCATTTAGTGCTTTAAAAACAAATAAAAGGATTTTAAAATCAATTCTGAACCGAACTGGAAGCCAGTGCAGTGAGGCCAGAATTGGGGTGATGTGGTCACGCTTTTTGTGGCCAGTCAGCAAACGTGCAGCCCTTGTGTTGTGTTAGAAAGCTGTTACCGTTCATGGTGTTGGCGGGTCAATTTTGACCCATGATTTATCTCAGTTCAAATCACTGAAAAATAATGACTAACATCCAATATTACAAAAAAGTTTTTAGAACTTTATATTATTAACTATAGTAACCCCTGTGGTGTTACGGGTGAAAATCGACCCATATAGATTCATGCTAGATAAGGTCAAATAAACTAGCTTCTGTTGGACAATGTTGTTCATGCCACGCCCCCCAACACGATGGTGTGTGTTTGTGTGTGTGTGTGTGTGTTGGTGTGTATCTGTGTACGTGCTTGTGTGTGTATGTGTGCTTATGTGTGCGTGTTCAGGTTCAAGTGTTACGGTACGTCCACACAGCAGCGTTTAAAAAATCTTGGAGGTGGGCGTATCTGAAGCTTGGGGATTTTTTGCGAGCAACGCGACCAACAACCAATCACATGAATCTCCCGCCCCCGACATACAGAGCAAAAAAGCCCGAAGTAAACTGGATATAAACTCCCCAAACAGGCGAAAACCTACCACTGTCTCTGGCACCTCCTTCCATGCCTGGCTCCTCCGGTTTGTATCCCGGTAGGTAAATAGGGACTGGTCATAAAGCACCGGGTGATTCCCTACCGCTATAATACATTTCTCCTCCATTTTTTGGAATATGAGGAAATGACCTGCGTTATGTCTCTCCCAGCATACACGCGGTTTGATTGGCTAGCGCTTGTACTGTCAGATTTGCATAAACGGGATTTGATTGGCTGATGATTCCACCTCAGCTTCAAAAGTTGAACATTGCTCAACTTTTGAAGCCTGAGATGCCTGGAAATCTCCGCTTTGCTTCCCACAATGCAGTTCGGCGAAAAGTGAGGCAAAGTGACGTCACTTCAAGTGACAGCGTTGGAAGATTTTTTTACCGCTGCTGTGTGGACGGGCCGTTAGTGTACATATTATTTGAGAAAGGTGGAGTTCCATGTGCATGTTTGCATGTTGCGAAAAAAATATTGTTACAGTGTATGATGGGGGTGGGGATGGGGTGTCTAAAGTCAAAGATGAATCTTGATTGGGCCAAATTTGACCCGAACCAAACACCAAATTACATACTTTTGTTCAGAGAGACCTACAAACTTGGCTAAAATTGTCAAAATAAGTTTGGTAGTGTTCATATAGCTGTTGTGGAGGATATCATGAAGCCTTGTCCTGATAAAAAAAAAAACTAGAGGGCGGTTATTATATAATGTTAACTTGAAAAGGGTCACAGGAGACCTGAACACAACATCAGGGAGAGGAACTGAGCAGCATTGATGGACACTGATGCATTGATGAGTTTAAACACTAGTATCACATCATATCTACATACATACATCTTACTTAGTGCTTGCACTTTTTTTGGCCAATTCACCTCCACTTCCTGTCCCTCTCTGAAACTCTGCTGGTGCTGATGTTGACAGAGTGACTGAATATTGAGGCCTGATCTCCTTCTTTCTTATTTTCATCACAATGGTTGCACCATTAATAAGATTGTTTCTCCAGACTTGATTAAAGCACTGATGTTTTCAAGGGAAAGACAAAAACAACAATGTGTGGCAGCACATTTATTCACTGGTGACAACAGAGTAAAACATGACATTGCTCATAAACAAAAATAAAGATAGATAAAAATCATCCATAAAGTGTGCATCATCAGAATAGTATCAGGGACAGTTTCATCCCACTAGCCATAAGCCTATTAAACACCTGAGCTTGCACTATTTTATTTGTATTCTTGTTTTACATATATGTATTTCTTATGTCTTGTTAATTGCACTGTTAAGGAACCTGCGATCACAGTTTTTATACATTACATAATTACACCGTAGTTTTTAAATGTCATGACAATAAACCTTTGAAACTTGAAAAATAGTTATTTAACAGACTCTGGAACATTGTATAGAGAACAAGTGATGCAGCTCCCTCTGTTGGCCGGTAGAAGCAATAAAATAAAAAGGTCCATAATCTTTGCAATAATCTGAGTTTAAAGGTGGGGTTGGTAAATTTGAGAAACCGGCTCGAGATACACTTTTTGTTATATTCCATGGAATGCTCTTAACATCCCGATAGCAATGAATATATTAAGTGCTTTGACAAAAAATCCATAAAAAAATGTCATCTGTGGAAGCCGTAATACTGTAAAAAGCACGACCAATCATTTTAGCCGGCCCGGCTAAAATAACTGGATGGCCTACCTGCCTGTCAGCCTTCCATCTGTGCACAAACTTATCTCGTGCCCTCATTGGTCATGTGCGCGTTCGTGTGTGTTGGAGGAGGGGCTCTGTAAGGAAGTGGCAGATGTTTTCCGCCTGTGTATTTTCAAATTCTAGCGATCTCGAGCCGGTTTCTCAAACGTACCTACCCTACCTTTAAGCGTTGCATCTCTAATACAATAGAATAACATTATTCATATCTAATAAAAACACCATAAAAATGTTAAAGGGCCCATGTCATGGCCATTTCCACTGATCATAATTACATTGTTGAGGTATACTAAAATAGATTTATACTGTGCAATTTTCCAAACTCACATTGGTTTCGCATACAGCATCTCTGTCAAGCATGTGTATTCAGCAGTATTCACTTTCTCCACTAAACGACTCGTTGGAGCTCTTGCCCCCCCCTCCCTGTGAGCCTAGTGTGCTCCGATTGGTCAGCTCGGCCACTCGTTCTGATTAGTCAACCACCAGAGAGGCTGCGCCCATGTCAGTGCTTTTCCCGGCTGCTCTCAGCGTAACATCAGTCTTATCATGGCGTCGGTACAGCGGTATATTTTATATACATATATATTTTTAACTGTTGTTATCGAAGAGTGTGACGGCCCCAGGGCCTTTGTCTTACGATGGGGTGGAGCTGAAGAGGCTAATCAGCACGATCACGGACACCTCCGGACACTACGGCCCCAGTCTCTCTCCAAAGCGGCTGCAGGAAGACTAACTCTGCGATCCTCTCAACCACCTGTCTCTGCATTTACCACAATAAATGTGCCGTGGTTTTGTAAACTCGTGTATGTCTCCTTGTCTTTCCGTTGTGGCCTACGAGCTACTCTCATAACAAAGAGTAAGTTATTTTTACCCGTTATAAACTACTACTGTTTGATGAGAAATCAAATCATGGTTTGCTATATATGAATTCAGGGAAGAAAGGATAGGCCTACTAAGTATTTCCATTAAACTTTATTTTTAGAAATGTACAAAATGAACATAAATATACATATATACACACGGTATATCATCCATTCCTCCTCCTCTTGCCTGCGCACAGCCGGTGCGGTGCGGTGCCTTTTAGCACGAGGTCTCAGTAGTAGTAGAATCCCTTCCCCGTCATGGATTGTCCGCCAGGATCTGGCTGGACGAAATCAAATGCAAAACACAAAATATTAGAGAAACTTAGTTGTTTTAGATTCGTTAGTAGTAGTTGTGTAATGAACAGCTTGCCTGCTAATATGCTAACCTAGCTTTGTTTACCTTGGTAGCTAACACGATATGAACGTTAGCTTGGAGGAAAGGCAACTATAATGCAGTGTAATAAAACTACTATGAACAAAAGCTAGTGGTTCATATTAGGCTAGCAATAACGTGTTTATAATTGCAATCGTATACGGGTATTCTGCTACCATACAATGTAACTTGCATGAATACATTGTTTTGCGCTAGCATACAGCTAGCCTCGTTAGCTACATGCAGTATATGTACGGTCACAATGTACGGTAAACCGGAGTATACTGTATGAGTATTCCGTGTGTGTGACTGCAGACATTCTCCTGCCATGACAAACATGTAAGGCCATCTGCTGACATTGTAGTTGATATATTTAAACGCTAGCAACGTAGCATCACAAAAATGTTTTTCTGACCAAAACTAGCTCTAGCTCCGTGTGTTAGATCGCTACGCCAGCTATAATGTAATTACGTTTCGCGACTGACCGGCAAATCACCCGCAGTATACTGTCAATAGGTATTTTGTGTGTGAATGCAGACATTCTCCTGCTATGAGATACATGTATGCAAGGCCATCTGCTGATATTAGAGTTGATATATGGAAACTCTAGCAACTTAGTTAGCACAGTTAGCACTGTGTCAATGGCTTAGCAGTCCAACACAGTTTACACATTTTAAACAGTCTTGTTTGATAAATACACAAATAACAATGCAAACTTACAGGTTTGTATACCCAGATCTTCCCCTGCTCCAAACGGTCCAAACAAGCTGTGCATATCCGGCCTCAAACTGGGCAATGTTTTGGAAGCTTTCGTCTGTGAAATGCCGGTTCTTCGAACCTCTGGAGGAGGAACACGCCGCTGCTGGTGTGGCCATAGCTCTTCGGGATTGGTCCATTTCGTTCCGGGTACCGCATGACATCATGCGGTACCCGGAAGAATCAAATGGGCAGTGACGTATCTCCAACGAGGCGTTTTGGGGAGGTATTTTCTGTGTTAGAGTTTTACTCGCTACAGGGTGTACTTTGAGGGTTTTGACTCTGCACACCGTTTACATGCATAAAAACCTTCATAACACACAAGGGGACGGGTAATAACCGGAAAAGCATGACATGGGAGCTTTAAAGAAATAAATATTTGCATTAATCTTTGCCAGCCTATAGAATTGAAGTCAAACTAAAAGTACATCGATTTTAAAATAATCCACATTATGAGTTAACTTTTGTGTTTTATTGTTTGTATCGAGTTTGTGAAACTGGAATTACTGTTTTTTTATATTTTTGTTTGTAATTCATCTTTTTTCAGAGAGTTTTCCAGTAACCTTCTTAGTATGACTGCTTTGTTTAAACAGACAGAGCCTTCTTCTGGCAGATCCATTGTTTTTTATAATCACAGCTCATTGATGCTAACCATGCGTTTCTGTACTTGTAAAACATTGCACAGCGACCGTCAGCAGGATCAGGAGGATATATCCAGGAGCTGAGGAGAGAACATGATGTTTAGATAAAGGCTGATAGATTTTATTATTCAAAGTTTTTAGTAATGTGTCTCTTACCTATTAGTCAGATCACTTCCATCCACCCACTTCCATTTCTTATTTACAACTCTCAGACCAATCCAGAATCCTCTATTTCCAAAGCTGTTAGTAATGATTGCTTCCTGGAAAACAAAGAGAGAGTTGTGAGATATAAAAACATTAAACTGTAATAAACACATAATGACCTAAAGACCCAAAGTGTGTTCAAACCTAAATAAAACACAATTACTTTCATAATTGCGTCATATTAATGGGTTTACCTTTTCAGCAGGAGTATGTGCAACAGCCAGATTTGAATTATTTCCTTTGCAGTCATCTTGAGCTTCTTCCCAGGTTTTTTTATTAGGAGGCTGAGCGTTATTGAACGCATAGCAGCTGGGCTCAGTGAGATACCAGTGCCTCTGACAAGCTTTACACTTTTCATCTGACAATACAGAGTCCAAACAATAATCAACATCACTGCATTGTGATATTAATGTTATTATTATTATTGTACCTTATTAATGGATTCAGAACTTACTGCCATGTTGTCTGCAGTAGGAATCGATGCTCCACTGAGCTCGACTGATGTTGAGCTCATTCCAGGTTGTCTCCATATTTTGTATTTGCTGTGTCAAGTTGTTCGTCTTGGCCTCCAGCTCCTGGTTTAGTTTGTTCAGCTCCTGGACTTCTGCAGACAGGTTTTTCACGTTGCTTTCTGAGACAGTATAGGCTTGTGTCAGGTTGCCCAACTGGTCTGTGAGATTCTCCCGTGTCTCCAGTTCCTGGATTCTTGATGTCAGGTTCAGGATCTCTGCAGTCTGCTTGGCGTTGTCTTCCGAAAGTTCAGAGGTAACTACAGAGACAGACAGAGGAAGGTGTTGGGCTGTAAGGCTTGTGTCTCTGAGTGATTAATGATCATAATAGACATTAAAGAACAGGTTCATATGTTTTATCTTTCTTAAAACAATAGTCAGACGCACATATAAACATGTGAACGGAGCAGCATTGATGGTCTAAGATTGTTAAATCAAGTGTTTATCCTGTAGAGTAAAAACAATTTCATAAAAAAAAATCGTTAACACACCCTTAACACACATTTCAGCCTGTTTCAAATTATTATTTATTTTTTTGTGCATGTTACTTGTTAGACGCTTTTATCCAAAGCGACTAACATACTCAATACTGTGGACAATCCCCACAGGAGCAATTTGGGGTGAAGTGTCTTGCCCAGGGACACAACGACATGTAGTGGGACTCAAACTTGCCCCCTGATTCGAAGTTCAGCGCACTAGACCACTGAGCCACAGCCTCCCTCAAATGTCTGCCTGTTTCAAATTGTTGAACACAGAAGATACTCACAGTAGATACGGAGATCCATGATGGCTAACAGTATGATCCAACACACTGCTATTGGAAGAAAACACCTCAGGCCTGAAAAACAAGCATTCTGTTAAAAAACGTAATAAAGGTTTCAAAAGTTTTAAAGTCATATACACAGATACAGTTTAGTCTAAAAACTGTGGTCGCAGGTTGGTTAAAACATGCAATATAAACATATTTATAAAAATAGTGCAAGCTATTGCAAGCTCAGGAGTTTAGCTTTATCTTAACGCCTAATATCATTTAACAGGCTAATGCTTTCATTACATTATAAACACACCACAAAAATAGCTAAACCATTTCAACCTTTATCACTATGTCACTGTTTACCTTTATATATATTTTTAAAACATGTTAACAGTATTAAATAGTGAAATGTATTGATCATGCACCTGGAGGGGATGCCTTTGTATGTGCCTTCTGGTGCAGCTTCTTTTTTGGTGTCCTCTGAAAAATAAAAACACAATGTGTTGTGTTTTTATGAAGTTTATCAGAATCAGAATCTGGTTTATTTCCAGGTAGATTAACACATACGAGGAAATTGACTTGGTGTTGTGTTGCATACATAAACATACATACAAATGTAACTAAAACTAAAACACAGATAGAAAATAATTTTAAGAAAACTATAATAACATACATTTTTCTTTTTTAAATACTAAAATACATATATTTTATTTGTAAAACTGCTATAGCAGTATTTACATTGAATATGGTTGAAATCGCAGAAATAGAATTGTAATAAATGATGTGCAGTAATGAAAAACAAGACATTGTATACATTGTGTGCATTTATGTGAATTTAACTCCCAATATAATCAAACTTCAAAAACCATTGGACAAAAGATGGATTTTATAATGGCTATCAGCAAACACACTGCTATTGGTGGAAAATACAGTGAAGAAAATAAACATCTGCCCTGAGTTAATATAGAACAAAAGAGCTGATTTAATATTCACGTTTTTAACCTTCATCACTATTTTATTTAAATAACATGACTGTTGAATAAATCTCATGTTTACTTGTGTTCACAGCTCACCTGGACGCGTTGCCTTTTTATCCACAGGGCCTTCTGGTGCATTCACATAGTCAGCTTCTTCTGTGATTTCCTCTGGAAGATAAACACATACTGTTTCATCAGATATGCAGTTTCTCTCCCATTATGTTCAGCACGCATGAGGAACCATTTCACTAAAGGATGGAGTTTATAATCAAACTCAACGATGTAAAATGAGTTGCTGTCATGCAAAGAACAGAGCAGGAAAGCAGAACTAAAAACACACAGAGAAGTGTATCGTGCTGACTTTTTATAACAAGATTAAAGACCAATTAGACAAACTCAAATCTTATAAATAAAACATTTGTACATGTTATTGTTGAAAATGTAGCACATTTTGTATTTAGTACAATAGTTAATCATGTGTGGTTAACATATTGATAAACTACAAGCTTCTTCCTAATTTACTCTCAACAAAATCCCCAAATGCATTAAACATTATGTCTCTATGTTCAGCAGAGTTGATCAATTATAATTTTAAAGATTCAATCTTAAATGAATTTGGATATTTAAAATAATTAGCTGCTAGGGAGTGGTCAAGCCTCAGAAGCAACTTACGCATACATAGCAAACCATGTTGATAAAGGAAAATAAAAACACATCATAGGATGTTTCTTAGACACAAACACAAACACATACTGTAAACTCTGGAATATTCTTTAATCACCCATATCCTCGATTATTTGTCCTTTCGTCCTGAACAAAGTCCTGCTGCAGTCCTGATGAGAGCGTCTCTCTGATGTGACGGTTCAGTAGACTTCTGCTTTGAGGTGGAGATGGCATCTTTTTAATCTCCTGTTCTCACGTCATGTTGATACTTCCCAAATAGTTTCAACCGGAACTTGAAAACGTGCGGCCCTTTCACAGAGTTTTAATAGAGTCACACATCCAAAAATATTGGATTTCCCAATGATATAATCATATTAACTGCAATTTGGATCTCCATTGGATTTCTAGGCCCCAAAAACATATGTTAAGTCACCAAAATGCTCTCAATGCCACTTCCTGTCCCTCTCTGAAACTCTGCTGGTGCTGATGTTGACAGAGTGACTGAACCAGGGGCCTGTACTACGAAGCCGGATTTTCGCTTAGCCGGCTGACTTCAGGGAAAACTCGGGCTTTCCGGTCCTACGACGCTGGTTATCTTTTTAGCGGGCTAGATCTCCATGGTAACTTATGCTGAGCGGCTAACCTCCTCGGGAGGAGGTTAGGTTGCAGGCTAAGAGATCAACTCAGTGAAAGCACCGCCTGCTGACCAATCAGAGCTCAGTGTGCGGAGTTTAAAGCGATCAAGTCATATTACAGGATAGAGGAAATACAGAAAAACTGCCGTTGCAGGAAAGACGGTCGGCAAAAATCAACTGACTGTGTGAACGTGAAAATTAATAGAATATCCCCTCCCATCTTCAGAGCAATCTGACTATTATAACATTAGCGTTAAGAAAGCTTACTTAAATATCTGCCACAACATAAGTAACCGGATCAGAGTAACATTAACCTGTTAAGCCCTGAGCCTGTTTTTCAGGTCTCAGGCTCGAAAATGACATTCCCAGAACATTTTTCGCTCGTTGCTAATTCAGAGGATCAGTGTTAGCATTGTGGGTTTTCTTTTGAAAAAAAAATAAAAAATGATCAGTTAGATGAGTTTCTTCCCGTTACATAGATATAAAACATTCATAGTTTTATTAAATGAACATGCCGTCAGACACTGTTTCCTGCAAGATGTTGCGGCAGAGCCCCGGTACCGGGGTCTCTCGGGCTTAACAGGTTAAGTACAGTCCGCGGCACTGAGTGCAGACGTCGATGTGTCCCATTATCATTCATATCATATCACATCATAATGTATCATATATTTCCTTATCTGAGTCAGCTTCTTGAGCCGTATCTGGCCGTGCAACACTCAGTGTCACATACTGTATGCAGAAGTATTATTTTAAGCAACACATTAAGTTGACGAAACACTCGAGTCAAATGTAATTTAAGTCAGATCCACTCGTGTCTTGGACGGGGCAGTGATATCATAAACCTGTTAATGTACGCATTCAAACACTTTTTCTTTTACCAGCTGTATTCACCTTGCAGGTGCAGCTATGTGGCTTTTATCCTGGATAAAGGGTTTAAGTCATGGATGTTTAAAATTTAACTTCTTCATATTTGACAAATATTAAAGTTCACTTTTTATTCAGGAAGTATGACGCTGCGCTGTCAGTACGCTTGTCCATGTTTGAGATTGGTCGAATGCTCCAAATACCACCCCTTTCATGTGAACGCGCACCTAACTAGATAGGACACGGCTGGCTTGAGCGATCCACTTGATATCCAGCGTCGTAGTACAGTTTAGCGAGAGCGCGTATGTTTTGGATTGGGCCAACCGGCTAACTCAAACATATCCAGGTTAGGTTGAACCAGCTTCGTAGTACAGGCCTCAGATCTCCTTCTATCTTATTTTCATAACATATTACATAATTGGCAATAACAAGTTCGTCCTGACTTGATTAAAGCACTGATGTTTTCAAGAAAAAGACAAAACAACAATGTGTGGCAGCACATTTATTCACTGGTGACAGAGTAAAACATGACATTGCTCATAGATAAAAATACAAAGGGCAAAGAAACAAAGTACACATCAGAATACTTAAAGTGGACCTATCATGCTATATTTGAATAATATAGTGTAGGACCATACCTATATAAGGCATATTTATACTTTTTTTTTCAAAATACCAAACAGATCATGCATTTTAGCCATGCCTCATTTTGCTCAATTTGACATTTTTTAGCTCTGTTTTTGCAAGGGCAGATTCTGTGAGAACAGCACCATCTACAGGCCTGGCATATGTACTACATCGTCTCCAGCGCTTTCGAACGGCAATGGCCGTGGCTGTCTCCTCCTGATTGGTGGAGTTGGCCCAATAGCCGTAGCGCCACCGTCCTGACGTCAGGACAGTGTTCAAATCTGGATCAGTTGTTATCAGGTCCCCTTTAATGAAACAGACTCTGGAACATTGTATTGAGAACAAGTGATGCAGCGCCCTCTGTTGGCCGTTAGAAGCAATAATAATAAGTTCTTGCACTAATCTGCAGAGTTTAAGCATTGCATCTCTAATACAAACAAGTGTAACCATCCAGACTGATAAACATGAATATGTCAAGGAAATAAAAAATTCCATTTATTTTGCAAGCCCAATAGAAATCCAAAAGTCAAACTAAAGCTAGATTGATTTTTAAATAATCCACATTATATATGAGTTAACTTTCATGTATTATTGTTTATAAAACGGACAAGTCAAATCAAGCAATCTGATTGGTTCTTAGCCGTGATATATCATATTCTTCTCTCTCAATGCTGCCGAAGGTGAACTGATTTCCCTGCTGGATCTCTGACCGAGGAAGAGTCTCCTCGTCTTCCTCCTCGTTTGACACAGACGAAGGGAGATCAGGCAGTGAGACCACCTGTTCAACAACACTTTTCCTACACTTCGAAACAGGCAGGTCAGTCGACATCCTACGGCTCTGTGCACGCGTAACAGTACAAACTGGAAACACCCTTGGAAATTGCAAACCGCTCTCATCTTGCTCCACAGATGCCAATGGTCTGGAAACCACCACAGACGGTGGCACACCAGCCCACACAGCACTACCAGCGAGATCGTTGCCCAAAATCATCTGTACCCCATCAATTGGCAACGCAGGACGCACGCCGATAGACACAACCCCCCGCACCAACTCACAATCCAGCACTATTGTATGACGTGACACGGGAATCAAGCCCATCTCCATGCCCCTCATCAACACAAAATCCCCAGTCTCTGTCTCTGACGAAAAAGACAACACTGACTCAATAATAAATGAGTATCTAGCTGCTGTGTCACGCAACACCTTAATCGGAACATACTTGTCACTACCGACTACTGACACAACGGCTTCCGTTATGAACGGCTCAAAACCAGAACCCACATCCAAGTCGGCACAAACCAGCTTCTTATCAGGCACCATGCCTGATCCTACACCCTGCGGCTTTTTAACCAAAATGGCAGAACAACACATAGCTGGAGCATGTGTTGAAACACGAGGCTTCCCCTCAGGTTCCAGCAACGGACACTGCTCCTTCCAATGACCCTCTTCTCGGCAATAATGACATTGGCCCACTCTGGCGCCCTCGGATCGCCCCGGACCTGCAAATCTACGGGAGGAGCCTGGTGAAAACTTTGCACCACCGCGGGAATAGCCAACATCTTCTCCACGTCTCCAATCACCCCTAGAACACTTCTCAGTAAAACTGCCCTTATGCGTCAACACAAAATCGTCCGCTAATTCAGCAGCTCTAAGCGCGGTGGAAGGTTTCTGCTCATTTACATAAGTGACCACACGCTGAGGGATAACATCTTTAAATTGTTCCAATACAATAAGTTCACAAAGACCGTCAAAACTGACAACCTTTGCTGCCGCGCACCACCGCTGAAAATGAGAAGTCAAATCACGGACAAACTCCACATGCGTCTGCTTATCCCCCTTGACCTAACTTCTGAACCTTTGACGATACGCTTCAGGAACCAGTTTGTATGATTTTAACACCGCTGATTTTACTCTCGCATAGTCCAAAGCATTTTCGCCACAAACAGCTGAATAGGCCTCCTGTGCTCGCCCAGTGAGTACACACTGAAGTAACAGCACTCTGTCCGAATCTGACCAGTTTCTTGCCCCTGCTATGCGTTCAAAGAGAGTAAAAGAAATGTCAGGGTCACGCTCATTAAACTTTGGCACTAACCGCAAGCAAGAAATAATATCGCCACTACCTGATGCCGACCTATCAGAACCATCCTTCACCCGAGAAAGCTTGCCCTCTCCAATCAGCCGTAATCTAGCATGTTCCACCTCACATTTCATCTTTTCCACCTCCAGCACCCCCTCACATTTCCTCTTCTCCACCTCCAGCACCTTCTCCACCTCTAAACGCTTCTCTACCTCCTGCTGCTGACCCCTCAACTACAACCTCTCCTGCTCCAACCTCAATTTCTCCTGCTCCAACCTCAACTCCATTCGCAACCTCTCCTGCTCAAACTGCATGGCCAAAAGCTCCTTTTGCTGCTCGAACGTCAAACCAGCTGTCTCAACCACTACCGGCACGACCCCTGCAGCACCAGACTCACTCTTCTGCAACACCCCCTGCTCAAACAAAGATGACATGATGACAGCCTTAATCTCATGTTTCCGTTTGCTCCCTACAACAGCAATTTCATAATGCTCTGCAATTTCGACCAACTGCGCCTTCTTGCAATCGTCTAAGAAAGACACCGAGGGCATCCACAAACGCCGACAAAGAAGCCATAATATACTACCTATAACCAAACAGAAAGCAAAGTATTAACCTGCCAACATGCATGGGCAAAAGACAAACCCCAACAGAGAATTTCCCCCTCACTGCCTAACCAAAATCTTGCTAATCTCACCTAGTCTTCATGTGGCTTGCGGCGGGTAATTACGCACTGGAACCCGGCGGAATTATGGAGCGACCTGCACGCAGTCAACACCACAAAATCACGCGGACGTGCCCCCGAGACAGCTGTCCGAAAACAGCTGACACTAACCACGTCGCCACAACACTATGAAAAAAACAAACAGACGCAACCCAAGGGGAAACGCCACTTAAGCCTAGCGGGGAAAATCTCTTTACAAAAGCCTAACAAACAGCAACATCTTACCTTCTGATTGGCACACAAAACCTGACGCCATGTCAAACACTAAAGCTTCCTGAAACACAAAA